AGTAGCTGCAATAGCAACAAGGTATAGCCTGCAAGAACCTATTAAAAACACGTTGCTAACTTGTTATAGCTTAACTTTGTTGCTATATCTACCCTACTAAGGATTTAAGGTTATTAGGTTCCTTGTACTGTCTGCGCTCGCAATTATCCTAGCTATAGTAAGTTGTTTATAACATGTTGTTAACCTATTCCTAACGTGTTTTAAGACTATTACTTTAATGCTAGTGTAGACCTTGCCAATTCCTGCTAGAATACTGCCTAGTTCCACTTGCGGTATGCTTTTGTAGAGCCTAGGGAGGATAGGGAGGATAGAGAAGATACTAGAGAGGGGGAGGGAGATAATAATAGCAACAAGTAGGAACACGTTAAGAACGTGTTAAGAATAGGTTCTAATAAATAATATACAATAGCATATAACCTAAAGGGGTAGTAGTAATTGCTAAAATAAACTCTCTACTCTTCTCTTTTTTTTTCTATCTACTAAAAGTAAAGTACTATTTACTTTTACAGGGTCCTTTAATAGTATATAACTTTTTCTTTTAACTTTTACAGGTATTGTAAAGCTTTAGTAGTCCCTTAGATTAAAGAAGAATCTAGTATTTATAGGTGTCTAGCTATAACGTATTGTTAATATGTTCTAAACGTGTTTTAAGAGACTAGACTTATATCTCCTTTTTGCTACTTTTGCTAAATATTATTTATAGTGTAAAGGGGAGTAACTATTTGCTCCTCTTCTTTACTCTCTACTTCCTCTTTAGCCTCTACTCTAGCTACCACTTCTTGTTATGGACTAGCTATCTTAGAGGGTTCTTAAACCTTAGAGGAGGTACTTAGTGTAGTCTGCTCTACTAGCGGAGAACGTATTGTTAACGTGTTTAGAACACGTTCTTAAGCATTTACTATTAAGCTCCTATAGAAGATCCTTGCTTCTATAATACCTTGTATTATGGTTCTGCCACAGTTTACTAGGGCTATTTAAACCTTAGGATAATACCTCTTAAGGTAGTAGATAAGATTGCCTCTATTAGAGAAGCGACGCTAAAATAGTTGTTAACATGTTATAAACGTGTTCTAACTTGTATGCATACATACTTTACAAAGTTCCTGTACCCCTAATCTAGCCTAAATGGCCTAGTAGAAAAGCTCGCTAGGAAATACTATATACCTATTATTTGGGTAGGATGTTATAGGAGAGAATGCCCTAGTATTAGATAGAAGTGACTTAAGCTTAATATATCGCTGGTATAAATCCTACTTAGTGTTAGAACAAGTTCACAACGTGTTCCTAACGCGTTCTATTACATACTAACTTTAAAAGATCTTTGTAGACTATATTAACTAGTTATATCTAATAATATTAGGAAAGATAGATAGTAAAATAGTATTAAACTCTTAAATATAAAAAGTTCTTGTAGAGTATAAGAAGAAAGAAGAAGAAAGAGAAGAAGAAAGAATATATATTTATCTACTTATATATGCTTATATAATAGACTAGAATATATTAAGAACTAGTTAGGAACTAGTTATTATATTTATAGACTAACCCTGCCTTGTATAAAAAGTAGCTATCTCTTTCTTAAGTTTAAACTGTGCCTTTTGCAATTTAAACAGTGCCTTTTTCTATACAAGTTCTTCCTTATCTACCTCTAGCTTTTCTTTTCTCTCTTTTAGAGCCTAATTACTAAGAAGAGCCTTTTATTACAAAGTTTATAGTTGTAGACTAATAATAAGTTAGGAACATGTTGTAAACGTGTTTCGCGAAGCATACCTTTAGGTTGCTGTTAGTAGAGGAGAAGAGCCTAGTAGTAGAGAAGATAGAAAAGGGGCTAGTAAACTTCTTTCTAATACCGCTCTACTACTTGCCCTCTAGCTTTAGGCTTTTAAGCGTGCTCTTTTATTTCTTATTAGGACTAAGATATATCTAGTTAAGTTAGATATAGCAAGACTTGCTTTATTATTATCTAGAGTATTATTATTATTATAGGACGCGTTCTAAACACATTCTAAACACGTTTTAATTAGCAAATATGTATAACACTAGCGTAAGACTTACTTTCTCCCCTCTAAAGCTTTTTAAGGTACCTTTGCTTAAGCCTATTAGGAGTTCTATAGTTATAGCGTATTCTAAACTTGCTCTAGGCTTTAAACTCTTTTATATCCTATAGATCTATCTAGTGTGCACTATACAATGTTACTTATACAATTCTAATAGGTTAAGAATAGGTTATAAACTTACTTCTAAGTGGCCTTAAAAATACTTACATGCTTACTAGTTTTATATCCTTTCTAGCCTGCTTGCTTAGCTATATTTAAATAAGATTCTAGTTTTTCCTATACCTCTTTTAACATTTCACTACAGTATTGCACAATCCTAGTAGCAATTACTAGGTTTTTCTTATAGATTACCTAGTTTTAGGCATCTTTAGAGGGTTCGTGTTCTAATTATGTAAGAATAAGTTAGGAACACGTTTAGAATAGGTTTAGAATATATTTACTTACGTAAGAGGAGGTTAGCAAGCTAAAAGTATTCCTCTACTATTAATGCCTGTAGTAATTCACTTAGACGTAAAGAGGTAGTATTATCTAGCTCTCTTTTACATGCTTTGTAAATACTTCTTTGTAGATGTACTTAACAAAATCTTATGCAAGATTAAAGTTGCTAGCGCTAGTCACGCTTATAGGGATTAATTAACTAGAGATAGCGCCTAAGTCCTAGAAACAAGTTAGAAACACGTTACAAACATGTTGCGGTGCGCTGTAAAACTTACCTATTATCTACTTGTTACATATATTAATAGTAGTCCTATAGAATCCCTATAAGTAAATATGCCTCTATAACACTTGTCTTTTTATAAGTGCTTTACACTTCTAAAAGAAGTTAGTAATAGCAACTTAATATATCTTAGTTATATCCTTATCTATAATAATTTAGCTAAGTGTAATAACTGTAACGTGTTAGAAACGTGTTACAAACCTATTCTTAATGCGTACGCTTCTTTTCCTATAGGTAGAAGATTACTATTAGAATCTCTACCTATACCCTATACTAACCTGCTTATATAATATATCTATCTAGAATATGTCTTAATCTAATAGAATTAATACCTACTCTTTAAAAAGGTAAATAATTAAGTTACCTAAGCTTAATATAAAGATTTGCTGTATATACGCCTATAGTAACGTGTTAGCAACGTGTTCTAAACCTATTCTCTTACACTACGTATAGTTTTAGGATCCTAATGCTTTATCCTCTACTTATAGTATACTCCTCTAAGGCTACTCTTAAATAGGAACTATAGAAGCTTTTCACGCTTTATAATATATAAGATTTTATCTTTATTTGCAAAGCTAATATGTATTTCTTTAATAGAATAGAAACCTTTAAGTTAGAGATAGGTTTAGAGCTAGGTTAAGTTTAGGAACTAGGCTATAATAAGTTAGGAATATATTTATAATAGGTTGCAAATAACTTATATTATATAAGCTATAGAGTAAGTATAGGCTATAACACCTTTACTACTTCCTTAATATTACTATTAGATAGTGTTAAGGAAGGAGGAGGTATATGTGTATATATACTAAAAGAAATAATAGTAAAAAAAGGTATTACTACTATATCTATTAGTATAATTACTTAGAAGGTAACTTTATATAGGATTTTAAATAGAGATCCTTGCCCTTATGGATAATTAACGCCTAGAATATATTAGGAATATATTAGGAATAGGTTACAATATGCCTACTACACTTCTTTATCTAGCTTAACTGTAGCTTAACCACAGAATATAAAGCAGGACTACTAGAAAGATTTAATATCTCCCTAGTTAGAAGACCTTATAGATATATAAAGTCTACCTCTAGTAGTACCTAACTAAAATAATGTTTTTTCCTAGTAGCAGATATTAGGCTATAGTTCTAATAGCTAATATATAGTTAAGCCTGTTCTATAATTTACTAACTTATTATTAACACGTTTTAAATATATTTAAGTTTTGCTCCCTACCTAATTTACTATAGTCCTTATTATAGGATAACAAGACACCTAGTAGTCCTTATAAATCCTTAAAGAGAAGCGCTTAATAAGGCTATAATAATAGCTTCTTATTTGTAGTTCTCTTTATAGAATTTTCTTAGGTACTATACTTTTTAAGGTTTAGATCTAATTATATAATGCGTTATTAACAATATAATAAGAACACGTTTGTAACATGTTCTTAAGATACTTACACGCTTTTACCCTAGAGTATTAGTATTTATACTAGCTTACTAGCTAGCTGTTAAAGAATAGTAAAGTTGTAGGCCTATTAAGATAGATAGACTAGCAGGAGTATTATACCTGCTAGAATTAGAATAATTTAAGAACGTGTTCTTAACGTGTTACCTGTGTAGCCTATATAAGCACCTCTTCTCTTATTAGGTAAGAGCTATCTTTATATTGCTAAACTAGTATTATATACCTATACCCTTTAGCTATGTAATTAAGGGTATACTAGGAGAATAGCTATATGCTTAATAATTACTAGTGTAAGTAGTAGTCCTTAACTATTACTATAAGTAAGGTATATATTGTGCCCCTATAACGTGTTACTAACCTATTCTAAACTTGTTCTATTTACTTTTACTTACTTCCTTAACGCTACTACTACTATTCTCCTCTAGCACTTTATATAGTTGCCTAAATTTATCTCTAATATTACTATCTAGTTTAGATACGTTATCTAGTACTACTATACTAAACTCTAGTATAGTATTTAGGAACGCCTATATATTATTAAGAATAGGTTTAGAATATATTTAAAAAAGATAGTAACAAAAACTACGTTTACTTGCTTAAATTACCCTAATTTATACTTAACTATAGGCTAGTTTATATAACTATAAAAATTTGCCGCTGTGACGTGGACTTGAACCTACAGGGATATTCTAACCACTTGGAGTAAAGCCCAAGTCGCCCGACGCTAAACCCATGGTCATATGACATGCCACCACTGCTACTCCCGCTTAATACTTTCCGACTACACCGCACGGCCCATCGTGCACCACAACATCCGCCGTCTTCCGGACAGCCCTGAAAGCTGAGTCTAGATAGGTAGTAGTACCTACATTATGTGCTGCTAAGGTGTCCAGCCATGCGCGCGTCGGTATCCAAAAGATACCCATTTACCTATAGCTACGCAGAGGCGTGATTCCCCCATGATGCAATTGGGTGGGGATATAGGTTGACGTTCGACGTGCCTTGCGCTTGCACTGCACTGCAGAAAGTGGGTTGGCATGCAGCGTGTGCATGGCGTTTCTTTCTTTTCTTTCTTACTAATGCTTGGGAGTTCCGTGCGTTACGGGGATTAGAGGCATGGGTCGTTGCTTTTGGGTTCCGAAGATCCGGGAGTGAGGGTGGAATGGTTGGCAGGGGTTTATTTGAGGGTTGCCCGCGCTGTTTGAGTTTTGGGTTCTTTTAGCCTACGTACTTTGTTTTCAGGGCATTTTTATGAATTGGTGAGGTGGGTATATTGCTGACATCGAGGACTGCTTCGAATGAGTTTGGACTGGATTCTGGGAATTATACCTATCGCTATACTCTACAGCACAACAATAACGACAGATAAACCACACAACAACCACAACAACAACACCGTATAGCAACCCTCTAACGTCATCCATCATAAACAAAACCAATTCTCCAACCAACCCAACAACAACAACAACAACAACAACACCAAAAGAAAAATGATAGCCTACCCCTTCCTCTACTACCTCATCAAACTCCTCACCTTCCTCTTCTCCATCTTCGTCACCCCCATCCTCGCCGCCCTCGCCTTCATAAACAGGATGTTCCAGGACCCGCAGGACCGCCAGGACTCGCAAAATGGCCAGGAAACCCAAGGCCGGCACGACCCGCAAGATCGCCAGAAAAGACAAACGCTATACCAACACCAGCACCACCAGAACCAAAATCAACATCAAGATCGGGTGACTGCGCTTGCGAGGTGGGCTCGTTGCGAGGTGCGTGGTGGGTAATGCTGTGGCTAGGACAGTGGCGACGTGATGAGTTTGTGCTGGAGTTGGTTTAGATTGGTTTAGGGAGAGGGGGTAGGGAAAGAAAGAGAGGAAGAGGAGATTACCGGTTCAGCCGCTGAGCTGGGATGGTTGTGAATTCACATCCGTGGTAGGATCCCACCTAGCACTCCTCCCAATCCCCATCCTCATCCTCTCATTCCTATCCCCCTATCCCACTCAACCAATCCCAATTTCCTAGCAAGACTCCAAACACCACATCAAACAACAAAACGCCCCATACAATTACCCTCCAACCCCATGGATCCATCTCCAGCCCCGTTATCACCCTATATGTATCTCCTTGCCCACTATCACCCAATCTGCATCTCCACGCTCTCAAATTCCACCTACCCAGCGCCCCACCAGCATATCTTGGGATCATGCGAGCCAAGACGAGCGCGAAGTCCAACCAAACGCACTTCTCGAGCAACTTCTGCTCTCCGCACTATTCCAAGGAAAAAAAAACTGCTGGGAAAATGCATGCTTCATATGATGCACGTTTATCCCCTGAATGTGGTGGCGAAGTGGAGGCCGCAAGGTTTGGATGTTTGTGGTTGTGTGGGGTGTGAAGAACCAGAAAAGGAAAAGAAAAGGAAACCTGCAAAGCCATCCCAGGCAAACATAACGCCGGACAAAAAAAACATCGAACCCCTATGCCTAAGTTTGCAGGTTGGCAGAGATGAGGATGAGTATGAGGTGGTATATGGATGGATGGATGGATGGATGGATGATGTTTTAGATCCGTAGGACCAGGACCCTGATTGGAGGAGGGGGAGGGGGTGGATAGTCATTGAAATAGAAATCCAAATCATGTATCATGTATCATGTATCATGAATCCTACATGCCTGGTGCAAGTAACAAAAGGGCTATATGGAGATGGAGATGGACGAATTAGCATAGCACTTACACTTCCATCCACAAATCCAAGAAAGAAAATATATCCTCCCTCCGCTGGTGAAACTCTGGTCAAACTGCACATCTCATCTCCATCTCCATCTCAATCCCACTCCCATTCTCATCTCACTCACAGCGCCAAACCCTCCTGCTCGCCAGCAACGACTCCATCTCCAGCCTCGTCGTCTGCAAAGTCTCCGGCCTCATCTGCATCTTCGCCGACATCGAAGCGCATGAATTTTTCGTTCTTGGCTTCGGCTGAGGGAGGAGGATTGTCAGTATTGTGTATATGCAACAAGAAAAGAAGAAAAGACCAAAACGGGGGGTAAAAGCAAAAAAAAGTAAAGAAAATAAAGAGACAAGAAACTTACTGCCCCACTCGACAACCTGGCCATCCTGCACTTCACAATCCTTCAACACCGTCCTCTCCTCTCCCTTGGCCGCCCCGCCCTCAACCCGACACCGTCTTCCCAGGATACAATCCGTCAGCTGCGCATTTGCCCCGACCTCGACGCCATCCATGAGCAAGCACCTCAGCAACCTGGCTCCCTCTCCAATCTTGCAATTATTGCCAATCACGCTCTCCTTGATATTCGTCTTCTCCTCGACAATCACATTGTCTGCGAGGAGCGAGTTTTCGGCCTCGACGCGGCATCGCTTGGGTATGGATTCCTTGTGGGCGATTTTGTGGGCGTGGGCAAAGGGGGAGGCGGCGTCGCGGCCGACTTCTTCGATGGAGGGGAGTTTGGCGAGGCGTAGGGAGGTGGTGAGGAGGAGGTGGGAGTCGTCTACACGGCGAATGAGGGGGGCGACGGGGGTGGAGGGGTGGATGTAGGCTAGAATGGGAGGAATGGTGAGGTTTGTTTCAGAAGACGATAATGATTTGGCTGCGTCTGGGATGATGGAAGAGCGCGTGACTCTTGATGCGAGTGAGGGCGCGGCTGGTGGGATGGAGGACTGGCTGGCTTGGTGAGAGTAGGTTGTGCTGAATTTGGAAACGTCAATTTCTTCCTCGATGAACTGCGAGCCCATGTCTGACTCGTCGTCTTCGCCGTAGAGGATGGAACGCAGACCGAGCTTATCGCCCAGACCGTCTTGCCAGCCTGCTTTTGCCCACCAGCCGAGGACTTCTTCGCTTATCGACTCGAATTTCTCGTTCTTTTTGATCATCTCCATGACCCAGTAGGGGAAGAAGTAAATGTGGGCGTCGCGGTGGGTGGTGAGCATCTTTATGCGGGCGTGTTTGCGGATGAGAGAGTGGCGGAGCGGGAAGGTCTTGTTTTCTTCCGTGATGTCGTTGAGTGTGTCGGTGGGGACAGAATAGACCAGATTGGAAATGTGTCGTCGTATGGAGTCGGTGGGTGCGGGTACAATGGGTGCTGGCAGGGGTGTGGTTGCGATGAAGTCTGTTTCTGCGCCTTTCTTGGAATCCTCGCCTTTAGTCTGATACCATACACCCAGGCCTCCTCGTCGTCCCAATCTCTCTCCACCAGCCCCCGATGCCACCTTGTTGCCATAGGCGTCCAGTCCACCGCTTGCGCCTGCGAGTCCTCCCTGCTCCACCATCCAAGCATCTGCCAGGGCTGTGCCATCCAGTTCGCAGACGAGATCGCAAGGCAGCACGATGAAGTCGCCCTTGATTGCGCTTTGTACTTCGGGTAGTCGGAAGAGGTCACCCGTACTCGTCTCGTGAGTAAGATCTTTGGGGGCGAGAATATCTGGCCGCGGTGAAGGAAGGGTGGTGAGATGTGGGTTCTGGGACATGCCCGTCTTGATTGCGTCGAGAGACTCGGGGGGAGTGACCACGGTGATGTCTTGTGCATGTTAGTACTGTGTGTAGTGGAGGAAAAGAGAAACAAGAAGAAAGAAAGGGAATCGTGTACTTGTGACCCCCATGCGATAGCACCATTCCAGTGGATACCAGACCATGGGCCGGTTCGCAATGGGCAGCAGGGCTTTTGGTATCTCCTTGGGGGTGGAGGTAAATGTGCTAAAGGAGGCACCTGGACCACAGAGAATCAGGGCCTGGAAGCCCGCGGCGGGCAGAGAGGTGGCATGTGGCATTGTATGAGGTGATAGGTGTATGTGCGAGGTGGTGGATATATTACCCAGTGCAATGCGCAGTGCGCCGCGTTGCTGCTGTGTCGAGGGATGACGCAATTGTGGTGGTATTATCTTGACTGTATTATAGTGATGGCAGTTTCGTTCCCGTATCCGTGTGTCTCTGTGTATTTGCGGGTAATTCTCTATCTTTGCTGCAGAGACGGAGGTTGTTAGCCTCGATTAGACAAGGCCTTGTGAATGGGATGGGGGTTGTGGGGTGTGAAAGAGTCACCCCGCCGCGGCCAGCAACAAAATTCCAAAGCATGACTCGTGTACCGGTTACCTTATTTGGGCCAGGCACGGCAAGCCCTTCCCTTCCCTGCTCTGTTCCCAGCACTGGCTCAGGCTAGCACTGGTGTGTGTTTCCCCCCAGCCACACGCATGACAAGCAACAACAAGGGGAGAGAGACGGAGACTCGGTAGAGAGAGAGAGAGAGAGAGAGAGAGAGAGAGAGAGAGCTCGGTACTAGCTGCTAGCCCAGCTTTTACCAGCCTTCAGGCACGATAAACACCGCCACCACCACCACCACAACAACAACAACAACAAGCACCCACCACCACAATCACCCCCAAAATCCCATCATTCCAACCATGCACTGAGTGAGACATGTCGGGCTTCAACTACGACCGCTACGACAGGCGCCAGTCGTCCCACAAGAGCCGCTCTGCCCTCGGCTTCTACGTACCGCTCATTCTCACCGTCACCGTTGCGACTGCCGGCCTTGCTGCGTGGGTGTGGAGCGCCAGAGAAGACAGCCAGGACAACTACAGCTCCGATGACGACTTGAGCTATGGCGAGGACTCGGCCCAGGAGAAGAGACACGGCAAGGCGCCTGTGGGCGAGGTGCAGCGCAATGTCACAGGGCTGTCGCAGGGCATCGCCCACGACGACCGCGACGACGACAATAGCTTCCTCGGCCGCGCACAGGGCGTGATTCGCCGCACCCCGAGCCCCCAGCAGCTATTCGACTCGGTGAGCAAGAAGACGGCGGCGGGACTGGCGGCGGCTGGTGCTGCAGCTGGTGCAGCTCTGGCCTCGATCCGTGAGGAAGACAAGGACGAGGCCTTTGGCGACCACACCCGGTGGTCTGAGGAGGCTACCTTGCGCCGCAGCGTCGAGGCGCAGTCACGAGACAGTGCTGCAGCCGTAGACAGGCAGACCAAGAGCTTCGCAGCCAGCATCAAGAATGGACCCCAGTACACGGGCAAGCGGCGCACTGTCGTCCTCGTCGTGTCCGCAGAGAGCCTGATGGACCGCGAAGACGACGACCACCACGGCGCCTACCGCTCCGAGAACGCTGTAAGTCCTCCTTGTCGCCTCTGCTCTCTCCCCTCCCATTCTATTCCATACTGACGCCCGCCCAGACCATCCTCTCCCACCTCCCCGACACCGACTTCCAAAAGACCAAGCTCTTTGTCCTCGTCTACACTCCGTCGCTCCGCTCGCGCCCCCAATCCCGCGCCAACAACAATGCCTCCCCGCTCGGCTCCTCCTACAGCGCCATCTCCACCCCCGCCCGTACCCCAGGCGAAGAACTCCAATCCCTCGACCCTAGACCCGACGACGTTGTCTACACCCCCGCCCTCTCCGCCCGCAGCTCAGACACCTTGCTCTGGAACACGCTTCACACCCAGGCTCTGCGCCTCGTCGAGCACCCCTCCATGGTCATGCCGTTTGCCACGCCCACGGGCTTCGTCCACATGCTGCGCCACATTGCCCCGGACCTGGTCTATGTCGTTGACGCGCTGAGCGGGGACCACGGCAAGAACATTGAGGATATCAAACGGTGGGTTGGCCAGACGATTGTCGTCGTCGGCGCCGATGGCACGGGCTTGGGCGGCTTGGTGGACACTGATGACGAGAGCAGTGTGGGCGGTGCGGGGGCTAAGGGCGAACACGCGCTTGCCCACGGCCAGAGGTGGTGGGAGAATGCCGATATGGTGGGTCTGGGCAAGGGCGTCGAGATTGTAGATGCCGGCCGGTTGGCCGATGATTACGAGAGGAGAGTTGGGGGCAGGGAATAAATGGTACGAAGGAGCAAATTTTTTATATAGCTGCGTTTTCTTTTTTTTTTCTTGCACACTTGCGTGTGCTCATTGTTCAATGATGGGAATGTTCTCCCCACGATGTTCTGGTATACGACGTTTGATACTTAAGCTGTTGGTTTATTGGCCTCATGAGCGTATGACTTTGGTCTGGGATAGGGGCTTGTGGGCTTGGGTAGGAGATAGGAGGTAGGTGGGTAGGGAAAGAGGTTTGTAGAGAGGGAAGGGGCAGGACAGGACAGGTTTATTTAGGTTAGGTTAGGTTAGGTTTGGCATCTTTGCGTAGTCATGTATACACGCGTATTTATAATCTTGTGTATGCTCTTGTGTGTGTTTGCATATGTTCTCCTGTTGCACAAGAGCAGTGGGTATAGGCGACAGGTATAGGCGATAAGCAATGAGGATGTGTATCTTGAGCTCTTTGTTGTTTTTTATGGTTATTGTTTTTATTCTTATACGCTTATCTTTCTGCCTTTGACTTTTTCTCGTTGTGTATTTCTCCCCCATACCTCTCATACCTCTCATACCTCTCATACCTCTCATACCTCTCATACCTCTCATACCTCTCATACCTCTCATACCTCTCATACCTCTCATACCTCTCATACCTCTCATACCTCTCATACCTCTCATACCTCTCATACCCGCCCTCCTTCCTCACTGCCTATCCAATCGTGCATGCTAACACATCCTCCATTCATTTACCGATCTACTGATTTATTGTATCTCTGCTCCCACGCTTCGGAATAGTGTTGGATGAGATGTGATGGGAGTGGATTGCTCTGGATTTTTGGGTTGTTGGGTGTGTGGAAGTAGAATCTGAAGGCTACGAGGTGGGAAGGAATGAGGTGGAGGGTTTTGGCAGAGTATACAAGTGGTATTTGCATTTGACTTGATTTCATGACGACGTGCCATCGTTGGTCTACTCGTCCTCGTCTTCTTCTTCATCCTAATCAAAAATGGCCGGCCGCAAAGTCATCCTCATTCTCAGAATCCGCCTCACTCGCAAGCTCATCTCTCACAGGATATTGGTATGGCCGCACCAGATTAACCATCAGACCTCGCAAAAAAGTCTTCCAGTCTTTACCCTTGTACTCGACCTTTTCCAGCACAGTTGTATGCCCATCTTCCTCAGACTGGAAGCCAACTCGCATGGATACCCGATCCAGGTAGTCTTGCCGCACCAATCCCAACTTTATGTGTTCGAGATCGAGTTGCGGTATATCGATGATTCGCAGCAATAGCTCGGCCCAGAAGTTAGGCTTGTTGCCCTGTGGAAGTCCCGGGTTGGAGTCGGAGTAGAGGCCCACTTTCCAGAGGTTTAAGCTACCGAGTGTGGATGCGAATTTGGTCACAATGGCGACGAGGTTGTCGTCAAGAATCCTGACTTTGCCGAGATCGAGGGTGGTGAGGAGGGGGAGGGATATGGGATGTGGGGAGAGGTAGTTGTTAGACTCGGGTGTTGGCATGGGCGCACTTTGGCCTAGCCAGACAAGAAAATTTGCGTTGTCCTCGGTTTCGTCAATGTGGAAATTCAGACGGAGATGGGTTAGATTTGGTGTGTAGCCTAGGAATCGACGGAGCGAACGACCGTGGTGATTTTCGACAGTGTTCTGCCTGAATTGCGTGTGCGGATTCTCAGCCGCGAGGCTGACGCTGAGGAGCAGGCTTGCATAGCCTCGCAGTACATGTTCTATGGTTGGAAGGAGAAAGTCTGGTACGTCGAAGGTGCTGTCTGGTAACAGTTCTTTCCGGAGAATGACTTCTAGACTGGGGGGAGTGCGCCCAGCCATGCCTAAGGCGTAGTTCACCGTTGGGAATACACGCGTGAGAAAGGGACTATTGTTCTCGGGTCTGTAGGTGTTTCGATTTGCAAAGGACATGTGCACACCCGTGTCCTTCCAGACGGTCGTAGCTCCCCATGAAGCCCAACTTGCTGACTGGCCGTCTCTAAGTCGGCTCGTGGCATGGTAGTCACGGATGCCAACGGTGTGCAAGTTGACTAGATTTTGGAAGGCCTCAGTGAGCATATCACGGTCTATGCCAGTCGCCATGAGAGTCTTTTGAGCCATATAGCCTTGAGTATAAAGATCTGCTGATTTCTTGTCTCGGAAAGGCCGTGGGTCAGGATTGTAGACGTTGGTGGCGATGATGACATGCTGCAATGTTTTGCAGAAGCCAGGATGCTTGGAGATATCTACGAGTGCCTGCAAGCTTGGATGTGTGAGCATGAATTGTTTCTTGGAAAAGAATTCCCCAGAGAACCATTCGTAGAGAGAGGTCTCGGCTAGCTTGCAGGTGAGACGTAGGGAACCCAGATCCGGGGTCGACAAGTGGGTGGACACCGCAACGAGCAGCTCCAAGGGGAGGGTGAGCAACGTCGCCATGGATGAAGTGAGTGCCGATCAAGACAGCTACTGAAGGCGAACTGAGAATTGATTGAAATACTTGAGAGAGAGAGAGAGAGAGAGAGAGAGAGAGAGAGAGAGAAAGTGAAGACGGCACTTATTTATGGTCAGTTCTCCCCAAACCATACCCACACAGACGTGCAGAAACGTGACGTTGTGTTCCGTACCTGTAGGCAGAAAGACGGCGCTAACCGCATTGGGGGCTGATGCCTGGCTGTACCTGCCGATCATCCAGGCCTCCCATCATTTCGACTACGCGCGGACCTGTGCAACCGATGATTCAAATAGCCCGTCTCTGGCCTTGATCCGAGCTGTATTCCAATTTCTCAGCATCAAATCACGCCAATGGCTCCTCGCAGAGCTACCCAGAAAGCTGTCCAGGTTGCTCAAATCTTGGATGAATGCATCATTGCAACATCAGGCAAGTTCGCAGGAACTACGCAAGCAGCAGTCCAGGCACGCATCAAGACACTGGGAGCGACGGTGGCTCCAAGCGTCACTGCTGATACAACCCTCCTCATTGCCACTGACAAAGATTTTGAGAGCAACTCGGTCAAGGTCAAAGCGGCTAGGGCTCACCATATCCCAATTGTCTCGCTTTCATGGCTAGAGGAGTGCGAATCTACAGGTGAGCAGAAGATTCTCATGCAGCGATTCGCCTAGCAGTACAGGAGTCCTCCCAAACTGACCTTGGTCTGGCAGATTCAAAGGTCGACGAGACACAACATCGTCTAGACACTTCATCCAGTCCGGCGCCTGCTCCTGCCCAGAATCAGGCTAATGGATCCAACAAACGTGCCGCCTCATCTGATCCCTCGTCTGCAACCCAACAGACTACTTCTCAATCCAAAAAGCCCAAAATTGCTGAAGAGGCCAAAATAGGCGACGGCCAGAACGCAAAATCGAAGAAGATCGCCATTTCTATCGACGAGTTTTGCCCACTAGCCAATTATCAAGTCTATATCGACGACAATGGAACTATTTGGGATGCTTCTCTGAATCAGACTAATTCTTCTGCAAACAACAACAAGTTTTACAAGGTTCAGGCATGTATGGGTGCATGAATGCACATGGAATGAGCTCTGACAGTGACAGACATTGACCAACGGCTCCGACTTCAAGACATGGACGCGATGGGGCAGAGTTGGCGAGCGTGGCCAAAGTGCCATGCTCGGTAGCGGTGGCGTAGGCGATGCGCTTCAGCAATTTCAGAAGAAATTCAAAGATAAGTCAGGTCTCAAATGGGAAGATCGAGGCGAGAATCCCAAGGCGGGCAAGTACTCATATGTCGAGCGATCTTACAATCCAGACTCGGATAATGACGACGAGGACGACCATAATGCTGGCAGTGATGGTGCCAATGGGGAGGTCAAAGCTGAAGTCAAAGCTGCCGAGTGTACACTCGACGCTCCCACTCAGGATCTCATGAAGTTGATCTTCAATCTACAGTATTTTGACGCCACGATGGCTGCCCTCAACTATGATGCAAACAAACTTCCACTCGGCAAGTTGAGCAAAGGCACCATTGCTCGGGGGTTTCAGGCACTCAAAGACCTATCCACACTGCTGGACAACACTGATACCGAGTCACGAAACGAGGTGGAGCGTCTTTCTAATCAATACTTCTCTGTAATTCCTCATGCTTTCGGTCGCAATCGACCACCTGTTATTCGCGACTCCGCCTCTCTCAAGAAGGAGATTGAATTACTCGAGAGTCTGTCAGACATGAAGGAGGCTGCAGCGATGCTCAAGAGTCAGCTGAAGGATGATAGTGGCGTCCATCAACTCGACAAGCAGTTCCGCGGCCTTAACATGAATGAGATGACAGCACTTGACCCCAAGAGTGAGGAATTCACTGAGCTCGACGCTTACTTGAACAATTCCAAGGGATCGACACATCACATGACCTATGCCGTTCAGGACATTTTCCGTATTGAACGCAACGGCGAGTTTGAACGCTTCGATAAGAGCCCATATTCGAAGATGGATAGCGATCGCCGTCTGCTCTGGCATGGATCTCGAGTCACGAATTTTGGCGGTATTCTCGGTCAAGGTCTCCGTATTGCTCCGCCCGAGGCGCCCGTCTCAGGCTACATGTTTGGCAAGGGTATCTATCTTGCAGACATGTCGTCCAAGTCGGCCAACTACTGCTGCGCTTACAACTCTGGGGGCACAGCACTGTTGCTTTTGTGTGAAGCCGAGTTGGGCAGGCCAATGTACGAATTGACCCAGGCATCGTACTCTGCTGGCGAGGAGGCCAAGGCGAAAGGTTCTGTGAGTACGTGGGGCAAGGGTCAAACAGGCCCAAGCAAGTGGAAAGATGCAGGCTGTGTGAATCCGGCGCTCTCCGGGTGTAAGATGGTAAGGAGGGGCACTATATTCTTCTCGACTTGATAAGCTAACTATGCTTTCAGCCAGATGTAACGACACCTCCGGGTCCTACAAAGGTCAAAGATGCTTACCTTATGTACAACGAGTACATCGCTTATGATGTTGCGCAAGTTCGTCTACGATATCTTCTTCGCGTTCGCATGTGAGGACAACCTCTCTAGGCCCTTTTGAGTGGGTTTACGGCTTTGACTGTGAGAAGGACTATGGTTTCTTGCATGCCTACTCTATTGAGAATGGCGGCGTATCGTCCTCGCTTGCATTTGAGCGATTATTATGGCGTGGCGTTGATATGGGCACGCAACAGGGCGGGCTTCTGCTGAAATAATCGTATGTGTGGGAAATCATTCTCGTGACGCAGTACCTTCTTCCTTTAGCTACTCTCGGCTGCTCAGAAGCCTGCGTAGATTTTTTCAATGTCGTAATCACGAGATGTATCTGTGATAGCTATGAATGGATACATAATAATTGTTCATGAAACTTGTAATGATGTGTCATTACGCCCGTGGAGTAATCCACAGCTACCTGTCAGGCTTGTGCGCCTAAGTCTACAAAAAAGGGATCCGGCACATGTACGCTGCCGTCCTTGAAAAGATGGTGCGCCAAAAGAAAATAGTTGTTGATTGAGATGTTTTTCTTGGAGGGGATCAAGACCTACCTACTGCCTGCGATTTCATCAGAACTCAGTCCATGAATGGGGTTTTGATTTCAAGCCTAGCCCAGACGATGAGCAAGAGGGTTGCTGCCATCATGTGATGGGTGAAAAAGAGATGAACATCTCATCAGCTCTGCCGGTGTAAGATGTCTGGGGCCGTGTATGTGGTCGGTCTTGGTCAGGGGGATCTCACAACATATCCATGGTGTTGCAACCGCGATTAGTGGATACACCGGTCAAGCTGTGGCCTATCAACCTTGGCCACCACCGCCACTAACACGCCTTTGCACTGTGGCATCCTACGTGACACGGGTCCTGGTGCATGTCGCTTGGTCCAAGGAGCACCTGTGGCAAGCTGCTAGTGAGCGTACGGACATGTTGAAACGGTACCTACTTGGAGACTTGCAGCAGGCTCCTGTCCGGACGTGGGCAAATGCGGGGTCGAGTACCATGTCGATCCAACGAACCGCCGATGTTCGATGCAGTAAGGAGGGAGCTTTGGTGTCAGCAAGGCCCTTTTTTAGATGATTGCGCGGGCCAACCCTCTTGGTTGATGCTCGCCATTCTCGTTACCGGTAGTGGCTTTTCTTGACCGGAACGAGAGGCATCAAACGAATCACAGCGGGGCACGGATTCAGGCGGCCGGTGACCGGTGAGCGGATCATCGTGAACACACATAACACGACACGCCGCACTCCTCCTCGATGCAATGTCCCAGCGTCGCAATCCGTAAATTTGGAGGGTGCATAGGTAGAAGCTGCAGGATGAATGGTTTTGATGTGTCTGGTCTGGCCCAGCGCCTGGAATGGGAGGACAAGGAGTACTGGCTCCATCTGGAGGCTGACAGTCCTCTCGAGAAGTACCCAGGTGCGAGCGATGGATGAGGCCAGCTGAATGAAATGCGCAAAGCTAATGAGAGGCAGCTAAACAACATGCGCGCAAAGTCCAGGAAAAGCTGGGTGAGGATAGGGGCTTGATCTATCTACCCGGCCAGGCGGCCAAGAACAACGAGGACAGCGACATGCCTGCGCCATTTCGACAATTGCGCTACTTCTACTATCTGAGCGGGTGCGTTGGATGAGTTGCATGACAGTATCGTGCTGATGAGTTGAAGATGCAACGAGCCTGACTGTCACCTGACCTACGACCTCCGACGAGACACTTTGACTCTATTCATCCCACGCATCGACCCAAAGCGCGTCATCTGGAATGGCCGTGGCTCCAACCCAGTAGAGGCACTGGCCAGATATGATATCCACGCAGCATATTTCATCGATCAATTGCCAACCTATCTCAAGACCTGGGCAGACCATCCAAGGAACCAGGGCGCCAAGATTTATGCTCTCCACCCATCGCAAATTCCGAGCTCTCCTGTGCGGGTGTCTTGTATGGACACAACAGCCCTCATGCCCGCTATGGACATGTGTCGCATGATCAAGGATGACCACGAAATACAGCTCATCCGAAAGGCAAACGACATCAGCTCCCAGGCGCACAGAGGGGTTCTAGCCAACATCTTGAAGTTCAAGAACGAAGCTCAAGTCGAGGGTCTCTTTGTGGACATGTGCATTTCGAAGCAAGCAAAGGAGCAAGCATATGATCCCATTGCCGCTTCAGGGCCTAATGCGGGCACCCTACACTACGATGCAAACAATGAGGACTTTGAAGACCGCCAGCTGATGTGTCTGGATGCAGGATGTGAGTATGAGCTCTATGCTAGTGATATAACACGCACATTCCCTCTTGCACCGTCTTGGCCTACACAAGAAGCTGAAAACATCTATAAGCTCGTTGAGCGGATGCAGGAGGCTTGTATTGAGCGGCTAGCTCCAGGCGTGAGATATCTTGATCTGCATATTCGCGCACATCAGATAGCAATTGATGGCCTCCTGCAGCTCGGCATCTTCCACAATGGAACCAGAGAAGAAATTTACAAAGCGGGGACTAGTAGAGCGTTTTTCCCCCATGGCCTTGGACATCACATAGGTTTGGAGGTGCACGATGTTGGCCAAGCTGATCTAATGAGCGTCAGGAGAGGGAAGATTGTCACCCAGCAGGTAAGAGCTTGGTATTCCTGTGGAAACCCGTAACTAACTACGCATAGGCCCCTTCACTATACCCGCAAGGTTTCCATATTCCAGTATATGAACCAAGCACTTGCCACGCACCCACAGATCCACAAAGTAGCCAACTTGAAGCGGGAATGGTCGTGACTGTCGAGCCTGGTATTTATTTTTCGGATTATGCACTTAAGCAATTTTACCTCCCATTGCCCGAACACGCCAAGTTCATTAACGTAGAGGTCTTGGAGCGATACATGCCAGTGGGTGGGGTTCGCATTGAAGATGGCATCCTCATCACGTCGAGAGGGTATGAGAACTTGACCACCGCGCCGAAAGGCGAAGCAATGTTTGACATTATCCGTGGGAAGATCACAGATTACAATGGGGATCAAAGAAGGGTATGTTCACCACGGAGGAGAAGTACCGAGAATGCGAAGCCACTTCTACGCGCCCCAGGTTTGAAGAGTACGATTGCAACACCCGTCCTAAGACCCCTTGCAAGAGCAGAGACTATGCCTACAAGTTTTGGTCAGCATGATACCATCGATTTCGAGCCCCATGCTGGTCCGTCGCTATTTTCAAATTTCAAGAGATCCATGACGACAGATGACAGGGTCCGGGAATGGCAGCGACATCGCGACGAACCCAGGCACTCTGTTACTGTCGTGAGTGGGCCCGTTACAGTCTGCGGACAAGCAACGCCAAATGTCCAGCACACATACATGACCAATGCGAGTGATCTTGCCGAACTATCCAGTCCTGTCCCGCTACCCACGGACGGTGAAAAGTGCAAAGATTGTGCTTTACTCGTCCAGACGCTCGATCGGCTGCGTCGAAACTTACAATCACCAAAAGCAACGCCGCCTAAGCAAGTGGCAGAAGATTCGTGGGCCAGGCACTGCAGAAGCGAAAAGGAGGCCACGCAACAACGCCTAGCACAGCGAGCGAAAGAGGAACATTCTCCATTGGACTTCCGAGGTAGTTCATTGCTTTCCAAGAACGAATTTGTAGCGGAACCAACACATATGGCCCAACCCACCACCCTCTTCAGAACGTCCCCATATAGCCACAAGTCCGCTCCCAACATCTCAAAAGAACCACCGGCCGCTCCATCACCACGCGCCTTCACATCTACCCCCCCTACCAAAACACAATACCCACCCTCCCACTCTTCCTCCCCACCCCTCCCATCAGACATCAAGCACCTAGAGACATACATGCGGGACCTACACCTAACCCACCCAATACCTGCCCCAGCCCCACAAACCATAAATCCCCTCCGCGCCCCCCACACCAGCGCCTTCCTACCCCCCAAAGACCAACACGAACAATCCGCTGTACATCTAGGCCTTTCCGTGAGTCCGCAAGATCGCGAGCGTGCGTGGTTCGAGCATAAGCGCATAGATCGGGATCGCAGTAATAGGGATCCAGCGGGCTGGGGTATACACACGGACGATTTGAAGAGGTGGAATGGGCTTTGAGGAGATCGTTATACGTTGTTCGTTTTGTTTTGTTTGTTTGGGCGGACGGCTGGAGTTAGGAGGCTATTCGGAGCGCGCTTCAGCGGCTTGTACGGTGGAAGGGAAGGAGGTCATTCGCTGTTGCTGTCGTTGCTGTTGCTGTTGTGTGACTATTATTACATTGGGATCGCGTGGCGTGGCGTGGGTTGATGTTGGTATGGCGAGCTTGCTTTGGGTAAACTATTTGATATCCAGGGTATGCGAGAAGATTGTGTGTTCATGTTTTGCTGTGTTTTGTGGTTGAGATATGGGGAGGATGGAATGGGGTTATTCTTCCTTCTCCTCATCCTCCTTCTCCTTCTCCTCGTTGTCTCACACTACCGTGAAGCCCCGCTACAACACACACGCATAGATCCCATACCCCCCCAGACCTAGCCTTGCGAATTCCTCCCGCAACACGCGAGGGATCCGCTCTTTCACAACCCCAGCCCTGAAATCCCATTCCAATGCACTCGTTCATTCGTCAAAGCAGCAAGGAACAGGAAATTATAACCAAACGGTGCTGAACCTTGTACCGACATATGAAGATTTCATCCCGTGAGCTAGATTCATTCGAGATGTTTTTACGCAGGAGCACACATACGAAGAAGCATTGGCAGATGTGCTGTGCCCAATGTTCAGTACGGTGTACATTCTGCTTTTACTCTTGTAGTGCGTTTGCAGAAGAAGAAAAATCTCTTATGATATATAGGCTTGAGATTGTACTATACTATTAGCATACATGGTCAATCGTAAATAGTATTTCCTTCCTTGGTCAAGGGACTGTAGTAGGTTGGTGTTGTGGGGGCACACCCCTGACAACACCTGGGCCAGCTCCTAGCCATGCATCAGACGACCTACGTCATCTGTGGTCTGAAGCACGGCAGCACGACTCCACCAATCCCTCTTGCGACCAACCTTGGAGCAGGATTCAGCTCCTGTGAGCCCACATACCAGGGACGTGCCGATATGCCCCATGGCTTTAGTGGTCATGCTTTCATCCACCCGTGCTGGCTTGCTGCCTTCATACTTGCCATCTCTGTCCTCCTCCACCACCACCACCACCACCAAGGCGCTTAATAGAGGATTCATTCACGGCAAGCCACCAGAACATCGCATCATCGCAGCCGTAACTTCACTCTGAATCAATGGCCACACAATATCTTGCCGATCGCAATGGTTGGCTATCGTTCCGAAGCAGCACGCCTGTCTTGTACATCACAGCAGAGGACGACGAGTTTGACCTCGAAACCATGAAGGCATGGCGCGACGAGGGTTTCATTGTCAAATACATTCCATTTGGCAAAGGCGGAAAGCAATACGTGAATACGCTGTATAAACTGGGCGATGGAATGGGCATTGGCGAGCGCTATGCGATCGTAGGTATACAACCCTCTCATACTTCAGCGCAATAGATGAGTGCGCATTGTATTCGCAACAGCAGCTAATCAGCCCACTGCAGCCTTTGGCGACGCAGCAGCCGTATGTCTAGATGTCTACTCAGAGCCAAAAACAGCGACATCAAAACTATGTTCGCTTGTCGCATACTACCCCTCTTCCATCCCAGATACACGGCATCGCTTCACCTCGTCTTTTCGCGTACTGGTCCACCTTGCAGAGGGTACAAAAGGCCATGAGGAAGTAGTAGGCGTTACACGCAGGCCAGAAGTCCTCGGTATACAAGGGAAGCGCAAGACAGTACGCAAGCGCGTCACACCTGGCATAGGTGCAGGAGGACTCCAGGACAAGATCGTCTACCCGTGTTACACGTACGAAGATGTAGACGCCGGCTTCGCGGAACACGATCTCGACGCATACGACGCCGTCGCCGACGCCATAGCGTGGAGCCGCAGCCTCAGCACCGTCCGCCGCGGCTTCAGCGCCGAAGTCGACCTCGAGCGCGTCTGGGAAGAAAACGAAGAACGTACGTCCCGATGACCATGCATCCCCCTTCCCAATCCCCCACCACCCACAACTAACACCACACTCCAGAACGATACCGCGGCAAAAACGTCGACAAACTCTTAGACACCTACGTCAAATCCCCAACCCCCTTTCTCAACTTCACCCCAACTCTAACCGGCGCCCACGGCCGCCCAGACCTCCACCGCTTCTACAAAGACTTCTTCCTCAAACACGCACCACCCACCACACACATGCGCCTCGTCTCCCGCACCATCGGCACCGACCGCATCGTCGACGAACTCTACCTCCAATTCAAGCACACCTGTCCGATGCCGTGGATCCTGCCCGGCGTTGCCCCGACTAACCAAAAAGTCGAAATCGTCCTGGTCAGCATTGTCGCGTTTCGCGCGGGTAAGGTGTGGTGTGAGCGTGTGTATTGGGATCAGGCTAGTGTTTTGTTCCAGGTTGGGTTGCTGGATCCCGAGGAGGTGCCGGAGGAGGCGCGGAAGGGTGGGCTCGAGATGTTGCCGGTCAGCGGGAGTGAGGCGGCGAGGAAGGTTATGGATGATGAGAGCGAGGAGGCGAATGACATGATTGATGATTGGTGAGCGTCTGGGCTTAGGCCTCGCGAGTTGACGTGGGATGTATATGGGCCTAGTAGTTTTTTTGGTTTTGGTTTTGGGACAGTGGATGAGTAATTCGGCTCACTTGGCGTTGTATCGACTAGGTAAATTTCTATAACGTTTTGATAGATTGATCATCGCATATGAAGATGCTTTGAAGAGTCTACTACACCTGTATATCCCTAGTATTCTGAGCTATTCAATTCCGAAATCTAGATTCATAACCTCGTTGCTCATCAGCCCATACAGTAGTAATCGGTATAATGACCGTCATGAAAATTTCCCCATGATTTCCTCCCAAAGTAGTTTCTCGCCTTCACATCCTCATATGCCCTTCGCTCGCCCCTACCAACATCCCTCGCCCTGACTTCATCTGCAATTCTAAGCCCTAGGTTACAAACCACGAAAAGCGCGGGCATTCCGCCAACCCTCATCATAAGCAGGTGCTCGAACAAGCACCGGACGAGCAGCCAGATACACGCCCCATGGCAGTCCCGGACCATGTACCCCAGAGTTATCGAGTCTCTGGTCGGCCCCAGCACGTACGCGATTGGCATTGTGGTGACGAGCACGAGCAGCAGTGCGAGAGTGTGCTCTGCGATGGGGCATCAACAGCGAGATGATTGAAGCGGAGTGGTCTGGACGGTTATGGACTGCTGTGCGGATGTCTTGGTAGTTCTGGCGGATGGAGGCGATTGGGTTGGAGAGGGCAGATCGTAGGCGCTGTGTCAATGGTTGTGTATGACGGCTGTGTGCTGGAATTGGGTTTTGTTCAGCCTGTCGTGGGGGAAGGTCTATGGTAGAGGCTGGGACGACAGGCGTGTTATTGTTGGGTGGAGCTGCAAAGACTGGGCCTATGCTATTGTTAACTTCCTCCATGGGGACGTCAGGCAGATTCAAGTTGAATAAGCTGCCGTCTTCAGCTATGATGGCATTTCGACCAGATAGGCTCCCGCGGCAGATTGGACATTGGTGTTGGTTGGCGTTGCCACTGTCAACCCACTGGACAAGACATTGTGCACCGAAGACATGTCCACAAGTTTGGACCATGATCGGTCGGTGCTCGTGATTGAATAAATCGCAGCAGATGGCACATTCGACGGTCTCTAGAGAAGTTTCGAACTCCTCCGCGTCGGACAGTGGGGTGGAGTCAAATGGTTCGCGCATGTTTGTTGCTGGGATATGGTCGTTATTGAGGTGAGATTAGAACTTACAGCTCAGAGTTGAATGCCCTGAGATGCAAGCTATCTCGACTTGACAGATGGACCAGTCTCCTAGGGGAGAGGAACAACTGATATATCGCAGGGTAGTTCAACTTCCCAGTGAAAAGAGGGCGTTTCGAACCGCAGTCAGCGACCGTGCCCAGTCTGCGAGAGACTCCCATATCACATGTAGCTCCACAATGTTGTCGACTTTCATTCAGTAGCTGCCGAGGAAGCTTTGACAACATGGAAGTCACTCCCAGGTCCAGAGGCTGTCTTTGTGAAAGTGTACCCAGAGCTGAGATGTTGCCAACAGAGTTCGAGTGTTGTGCATTTTTATCCTGGAACGATTGGAAGAACTGGGATAGAGTCATACGTGTATGATGCGAGGGTATCCATTGCTAAGAAGAGAAGTATATAGGGATGGTAGACAGCGAAAGTTACTCATGAAAGCCATGCTTCCCGTCCAAGGAGAGAATTGCGTTTAATCATGATACGCTTAAAGAACGTCTGTAATCGTATACGCCGACCATGTTGACCTAGAGTATGAAGTAATGCATAGGAAATAAGTGAAGTGAACGATTGTGGAAACTGCAAAAAAACAAGCAGGAATACAAGTGAGAAATAGTGGTGATGGACAAAGGAAGATGCAAACGACAGGATCAAACTTCCGGAAGATATTTTTGGGTTTCCAATATTCATCCGAGGGGCCAGGGCATCATTCTTCGTCAGGCGTTGCAAACAATTGACGGCGATAGTTGCAGCGACGGGATATTTTCTTGTCATCATTCTGATCTCGCATATGTAAATCTTCCCATGGATGGAGACTTATAATCCAGGATCCTCATTCGAGGTACGCAGTGCGGCGCCTCCTGACAATCGATGTATGATTCGCGCTCGGGCCCCGGGGACGTCTCTGATAGCCGCTGCGGAAGATATATCTTGCGAATAGCGAGCTTCCGTTCTAATATTCTGAATTTGCTGCCATGTGCGTGGTGCACTTTGCACGGAAAATCGGCGTGATGACCCAGAGCTTTGACGTTCGTGGGATAACAGACCTTGGAACGGAATGCGTGGGCCGAAAAGACCGTCCCCGGCAGCAGTGGTGACCTCAGATGTTCGCTCGCTCATAGAGTCTCGATGTGTAGGAGGAATTGAATCGGTAAAGTACAATCCATCAAAGTGACCGGAATGACTTCCAAGCAGATGACCTATCGACCCTGGACGATCGAGCTGGGAGACCGGCATATGAAGCAAGTCATCTGAGCTTGCCAGGGACACCCTGTCGATAAAAGATGGCTCCTCCAAGAGAGCTGCACTGGCACGCCGAAGTCGAAACGCCGTGAGCTTTTTTCGTGCCCATCGTATACGATCTTCCTGGTTCATCGAGCTGATGGGGTTGTCTTTTATTTCTGTCATAAATTTTTGCGCCTCGGGACTCAGAGGTGGTGTGGCTGCATCAACTGTTCCAGGTCGAGATCCAATTGATGAGACATGTTCTGTGGTCGCGCTGTTCCGATTGGATACGGGACACCTGTTCATGGAGATATGCTGAGTGTCTTGTGCTCTATCATTGACCCTTCTTGTGCTCGTGAGAGGCCGGTCGGCCGCAATGGATGCCACTCTGCTCAAGATGGGAAACCGTGTTACAAGTTTCTTCCGAAAGTTGAAGAAGGGATGTTGCCCAGTGTCAGCACTATTGAGTCCAGATACACTTCTAGTAATGATCTTAGGCCTTAGTGTAGTTCGCTTTTGCTGTTTGGATACACTGAGGCCCTGAAAAATATCCCGGTTCGTATTCGGAGGCAGTGAAGTTGTCTCATGTGAACCTAGAGCTGAAGAACCCTCAGGCGCAACATCGTCCGCTGTAGTCCCCGGGTTTCGCGCCAGATGTGATGTTGCGACAGCTGTCACAGGCCGAACCATTGCTACGAGTAGTCGGTGAACTTCTCTTTCCACGGGATCAGGAACAGTGCTCATAACGGATAGAAGTGATAGCTGCGTTGAATTACGGCCTCCAAATAGCATCCATGGATCCTTGCAGTTCTCGCATAGAACGGGACTAGCTTTGCTTTTATCATCGTGATTGTCAATTTTCAATTTCGCTCCACTATGATAATGGTGGCACTTTGGACAACTTGCATGAAACTCAAGCAGCCAACGACCAGAAGGGAGTGGTTTGTATAGATCGCTGCTCTCCACAGATGATGTGGTATCTTGTCGAGCCAGTCTGTTAGCGGACAGGGTCTCCTGGGGCTGATCCCATCGCGAAGCCATCGAGGCAGGATCCATCCCGAATCGATTCAGATATCACGATCTGCGCATTAATACAACGGGGTGAATGCCAGATTCCGTGACTGGGGTGTCCGGTCGCACGTCTGAATGGGATGCATAGGATGCTTGGGCGTGCAAGAGTTGCTAGTGCAGTGGGAGTCGCTTATGTGAAAATGATAGAGACTGCGCCTGGTCATTGAACGTAGTAGGGGATAGAATTTATCAGCCACGAATTGTGCTCTTCTGTTTGATGTGGCCCTTTGCTGATGATAGGCTGTCCGGGGTGCTCTCGCCAGTTATGCCTATCAGGTAGAGTGCATTGGGCGGTATATATATCGAGGATAGTAGGACTACAGCCGTTCCAGTTCTGATGAATAAACTCCCGCCTCTTTTCAGGCATCGAGAAAGGCCACGGCAGGCATCAAAGCATTAGTTGTTGAGGTGTGTGTGGCGCAGTCATGCGTAAGCTCCGCCACAACACCCAGTAACTCTTCTTTGGACGAATATGTGGAGATGCAATAGTATTAGAATGAAGGATTGAGAAGAACAGTTGAGAGGTATGATAAAATTGTCACTTGTGTATACTTTCATGGTGCCTGACGACCGAAAAGCTTTGGACTAACGCTAGAAGAGCATCAATTAGTCGACGAAGATATAAGAAAAGTTAGGTAAAACGTACGGCTGAACAAAAAATTAGGAAAAATCTGCAGCTATTCTCATTTAGTTCCTCTTGATCACACAATATTCACACAAGTATTACTATCCGAATAGTAGAGGCACCTTGCCTCAGAGATGCCGCTGAGCTTGTAGGAGTTTTGGTGGTTTGGTGGCTTTCTAGTGCGGCTGAGCTGTGCAGCCCAATTCCGCAGGCAGCAGCGCTGACAGTCTTTGGGCAGGTTTCCTGGGCCCCCGCTATGTCATAACGCTTCGATGATCGTGAGCGTATGTGCCCGAACGATGTGAGTGTGGGTTGTAAACGCTACACCAATATTATGACATGCAGATCAATATCACGAGTGGCAGCAGGCACAGCCTCCTCTATCATACTGTTGTTGCGCACTTGGAATTTCAAGAGTAACCAAAAGAGGCGAGCCAAGGCAGCATATGCCATGAAGACGTTGACGTTGTTAGTGATGTTGACGTTGGAGATCCAAGAGCGACGGATGGACGACAAGGGGACCCACTCTTTGGGCTTAGCGTATTGCGGATAAATGATTCTCCAGATGGTGCCGAACAGACGCACGCTTAGCGAGCCCTTCGAAATTCGCTCGATACGGTCCACTGAAGCAACGACAACAACACATCGACAAGCCGCCATCATGTGTGAGTAGCCCTGTCCCTTCTTCGAGCCACGACCAATATTGCGATTATTGTCTTACAGCATTGGGAGCTCTGCTTCTGGCCTGCTAAGAGATATCGCAATATTCACCATAGCCGCACTTTCAACCGCAGAGATGCTGACATCAGTATAGCGCTCGTCTCCGGAGAGAAGTCGAAGTATGTACACCCGCCCAAGGCAGAATAAAAGCCATTATCGTACTCTCGTGTCGCGTCGCATTCGATTTGTTCCCAGTCACACGACGCCACCACTCGCCTCCGCAATTCGATAGCATGCTGGGGATGGACGCGTGGGCTCAAAAGCGACGCACAGGAAAAGACATGCAAAGTAGACTTGGAGGGAGGACCGATGAGGAAACATGGAAAGCATGCTATCAGGATGAGGTTTAGGGTGGGGTGCGAGTGGCGGGAACTCTCGAGTGGCCGCACGTTGAAGCAGTGTTTGAATTACTCTGGAGGAGGCAATGCTGACTCTGCATAGCTTCCAATACATCATCCGTTTGTTGAACACGAACGTCGATGGCAAGCAGAAGGTCATGTACGCCTTGACCAAGATTACGGGTGTCGGTCGCCGATACTCCAACTTGGTCTGCAAGAAGGCCGATGTCGATCTCAGCAAGCGCGCTGGTGACCTCACCTCCGAAGAGCTTGAGCGTCTCGTTACTATTATCCAGAACCCTCTGCAGTGTACGCCACTACCACTTCTCCCTGACCTTTGCGCGTACTGACAATTCGCAGACAAGATCCCCGCCTGGTTCCTCAACAGGCAGCGTGATATCGTCGATGGCAAGAACAGCCAGATCCTTGCCAACGGTGTCGCCTCCAAGCTCCGTGACGATCTCGAGCGCTTGAAGAAGATCCGCGCTCACCGTGGTCTCCGTCACTACTGGGGCCTCCGTGTCCGTGGTCAGCACTCCAAGACCACTGGTCGCCGCGGCCGAACTGTCGGTGTGTCCAAGAAGAAGGGTTAAAGGTTTTCGCTTGCGCTGGGCAGCTGGGGCTGGAACGCCTTCAACGAAATGGGTGGTGCATTACGGTGTTTCTCGAACGGCTTTCAATGGCTTTCACGCATACACTTCATGCGGCAATGCACGACATGGGATACGCGATGAGAGTCTACGGTTAGGGTTGGCAAATACAGCCTGTACCAAAAATCACACATTCAAATTTCGAATTGTTCCAATTTCGGTCCGCATTCTATTCTCTCCTGTCAAGTGTCTGTCTTTTTCTATGCTCGTCGGTTGGAGCTCGACTTGTGATTGGCGAATGGCAGGCCTGGTTGCACATGCGGCCACAAACTGCGCTCCACGTCACACCACGCTGATGGGCACCATGCACTGCGATGCTTCTGATGTCTTGTGACTTCCGGAAGTCACTCGGGACGGTCCGCTAACGGTGACAGACTCGTTCTACGTGTGCTCTCAAAGCGCCACTGTCGAGGAGTCGTGAATATGGCAATTGTACAGTCGATTACAGCTATTAGTGCATCCTCATCCTTGTCGATTAGACGCCCGTTGCCTTTGATCTAGGTAGAGTACTTGATCATTAACTCCCACGCAGGCATCCTTGCCAAGTTCTCAAGTGCGCTGTCCCACGCTTGTTGCCGTATTAGCCTCTGATGAGGCCCGGCATCTGCAACATGGATCCTTCTGTCCACTTGCAGCAATCCCCTTCCCCCGCGATATGCATCTCGCTCCGAACAACGAGCTCGTATCTCCCTCCAATTTCCTCCCATAGGAACACCAATTGTGGCATGGGAGCTGCCCTGACATGCAGGGCCAGCGAAGAGGCAGCATCTACTTTATCCTCATCTCCATATAAGTCTCTTCGTCTGCTTCCTTGTCCTTTTTGACCGTCGCGAAGCCTCCCTACATTTCCTTTGTTCATAAACTCTACCAATTGCCCCTCCTCTCCTCATCAATCTTTCCATAATGGCGACAATGACGATACCTCCGCGTACGCCGTCACCAAAAGTGCATATCCGATCTCAATCCTTCGACTCGCCATCTTCTCGCATCAGCATCACGGCCCTTGAGGAGACGCCGTTTTCGAAATCCACGGGATCGCTTGCCATGAAATCTTTGCCTGGCGAAGCAGCGGTCATTGAACGGGAGACCATTCAATCTACCAGCGTGCTGGTACCACTGCATACCAAGATGAGCGCCGAATCGATTCTTTTCGATGACTTGAGCGCGGCTTCGTCATCCCCGTCTTCCGTCGCCGGTTCACCCACACACTCGGCGCCAGAGTCGGAATCAAACATGGGACTCTGCACAGATGTCTCTCCCTCGCCCTCCCCTGAACCCTCGCCCTCGCTACCAGTCGAACCCAAACGCAAACGTGAACGCAGACGTGAACGCGAACGCGAACGCGAACGACCCCACCCCCTAACCTTTGCCCAACCATCCCACTACCACTACCACTACAACAACAACCCCGTCCAACCCCATCATCATAAACAACATCATAAACAACAAACCCCCCACCACGCCGCCTCCTCAGTCTTCCTCTACCAAGACCCCCGCTACCCAATGTACTCGCCCTTTCTCGTCAAAGTCGTCCTCGATCTCTGGGACTTGAGGGGCTTGGACTGGATGTCGATTGCGGAGCCGGTACAGCGGATTTGGGGCATTAGGACGTGTGCGGCTGAGGTTTTGGCGATTTTGTGTTTGAATGGGAGGGTGGGGGCGAGGCGGTGGTGGGATTGAGGCGGGGGGTTGGGTGGGATTTAGGTTGCTATGTTGGATATTTGGGGGGATATTTGTTCGTTTTATTTTCGTTTCTGGTGTTGGGTTGGGTTGGCGATGGGGTGTTGGGTTTATGTCTTGGTGTTTATTGGGGGTTGGCGTTTTCTTTATATTTCTCATGTTGTACCTTCTCTTCTCCTTTTCTTCCCATCCTGTTTTTCCCCAAAGCTTTACCAGATTCTCTTTTGTTCTCACCTTCTCAACAGCGTTGGTACTTTTTTCCACATCTATGTTTTTCTTATCCCACGGCGTTTTCTCGGGATCCCGTACGCTTCGGCATGAGTATGAGTATGAGCACGAGCATGAGGTCTTTGCAGGATATGTACGCCCTTACGCTACTGCTTCACGGCATGTTGGTTTTCTTGTACGCATTGAGATGGGGACTTGAGGTATTCTTATGGATGAGTTTGTCATCTATTATGAATTGTGTACAAAAATAAGCCGGTAAAAACATACCGCCGTCCTTTCTTTAAAAAAAATACAACTTTGGAAGTGAGAATGAGAATGAGATTGTATTCTTCTATACTACATTGACAGCAAACCGTATTACACCATCGAGACTTGAACCCTATCATCCTCCCTATATGCAGTTATAACCTCACTCTCCCATCTTTACCTCCGCCGTCACAAAACAAGCTAAGAAGGTAATCCGGCAGAAATCCATCCCATGTATAAAACGAGCGCAAATGCCACGCCCACGGCCACGGCCACTGCCCATACCCGACTCCAAATCCCAAATCCCACAACACACGAACATATGCACGACCCACGACGCACCAACTCACCACCCACCACCGACATCCTCCCCCCCCCCCCAAGTCCCCTCAAAAAAGCACAAAAACTAGCCAAAACAGCTGGTGCACGATGAGTGGCTGCCGGTGCGGCAGTGGGGAGGTGTGGGGGTTGTGAGCGTGGTGCGTGGGGAGTGGGTAGTGGGTAGCTGTTTTAGCGGATGGGTAGTGGGGGTGTATCGTGGAACCAGTTGTGAGTGAAAGCCTGGTGGGTTGTGTATGGTGATGTGATGTGATGGAATGGATGGGGCGGGGTGGGGTGGTATGTACTGTATGTATACGTGGTAGTGTGGTGGAGAGAACGGGATGAGTTGGTGAAATGAGAAATGGGGATGTGTTAGGGAACGAGTAGAGGAGTGACAAGGAGGAATCAATGCAGGAATGACATAAATGAAGCAATGCGTCAGTGACATGAAGAGAACGAAAAAGACATGGGTATATCGAATTTACATCTACGTACACCCACATGAGGCATGTGGGTTGGAGTTGTACTACACTGGAGCTCTCTGGCTGGGCCTGGTGATTCCGTGGAGCGATTTCGCATTGCTCGCTTGGTTCCATACCGTTGTGTTGGGGAGGTACACAGGGTACGACGTGTTCCCGACGCGGCTGCTTTGATTGGGAACGGAAGCTCAAGGAGAGAGGAAGACCCAATGGTAGGATGAGCGTGACCAGCGACTGGGAGGCACAAGCGTGCGGTACGCATGCCCACGTTTTAGATCCCGACACGATGTTTCTCGAGAGAATGCGTGGGTGCGTAGGTATAAGCTCAAATATGGCTCGCACACGTTGCAACACCCCACGTGAGGGAGGGTGTGCAGCAGCGACACCAGCTCGAGGGACGTGTGACTGCTCAATCGTCTGCACCGACTGCCATTTCCAAAACCTCGACGTTGCCTCTTCCTTTTGTCTGGCTTTCGATGATTTCATTCAGGCCCTTGAATGCGCCAGGCTCGACGAGGCCCACGGCTTCCCATTCAGCGCCTATGGTGTCCTGACTCTCGATGTTCTCCATGAAACCGAGAATTGCATCCTTGACTGTGCCTGATGAGGTCTTTTCGTCTGTGCCCGCGGGTGTCTTGGGTGCGTTCTTGATTGCCTGCTTGAGGACCGAGGTGGGACATGTGATGCGCAGCTTCATTTGCATGCGCGCGACCGGTATGGGCTGGTGTGCGATGAGAGCCTTCATTGCGAAGAGGGCTTGTGATTTTGCAGACTTGGTGGTCACGATACCGGTCCACTTTGGCAAGTCCTTTGCTTTGGCCTTGTCGTCTCCCGCCTCGGCATGGTCGCTCTGCTGCGCTGCGGCTTGGCTACTCAGCCCATCAAGCGCCTTTTCTATCATACCGGTGGTGTATACTCGCTTCGTCTTCGGGTCGACCAATTTGCCTGCTACGATGTCGATGACCTCGTTCTTGGTGCGCTCGAGTTCTGCATTGCGCTCCTTTTCGCCGACCTGCAGCTCTCCGTTCTCCAATATGTCTATTATGATCTCCTCGACCGTCTTCTTGGGGAAGGCTTTTTCAAGATCGGCCTTGGGAGCGACTTGGCCTTTGGAGACGTTGAGGAAGACGTTTTCGATTTGCAGGACGTTGGAGAGATCTTTTTCGATCTTGTTGCGCCATTCGAGGACTTTGTTCTTGTAGCAGGCAATTTCGAATCGCTTCTTGCCTGTTTGTTGTAGTCGGAGGTTAGCTGTGCATCGGTCGCTGAGGGTTGATTTGCGATGACGAACGAACCTTTTTTGATGCGCACCAACGAGACATTGGTGAGTTTTATCTGATTCGAGGGCTGGAATACGTTGACGGGCATTGTGATGAGCGTATGTATGGATTGGGTTCACTGAGAAAGCGTGGTGTTGTTGCCAGTGAGTGCAACTGCGTGAGTATATAAAACTTGGCTAACGTTTACCATTTTTGGCGGGGTGGGTGAATGACCTACGGCGGACGGGACATGCTCACTATGAGTCTGGATACGCTAGTCCTAGTTCGGATGGGTGCAGGATCCAGCTCTGCTTCACGCTTCCACCTTCACAGCCAAACCCAGGAACAGAGACACTCACACAGCCACACAGCCACACATGTCCTCTACCTACTTGTACTCTAGTAGTACACACACACATTACACATGTCAACCATCAGCCGAAGAATGAATGCTGCCCCCACTCCTTGCAGAGGGAGGCGAGGCTGCAGCCATGAATGATGGATGGATGCATTCGACGGACGCGCGCGTTCGACAGACAGTTGTCGCTTCATACTTCACGCCTTCACGCTATGATGAAACGCTAAGGGCGGCCTCGTGACACGGCGCTCGGACTAACCAGCCACCCGTGGACTCTGATAAGCTGCGTCATGTTCCGTTGCCTGGCCACGCCGCGCCTCGTCCACACACACTCACTCCTCGACAAGAGCTTCCCCAGAGCTAACCTAGCTAACCCCCCCATCCATCCATCCATCCATCCATCCATCCCATCTCTTCTCCTCCACTCCACCATCATCTTCTCTCATCCCCCTTCCCCTTCATTACCACCATATCACATCTCTTTGTCTCCTTGGTCACACCGAAAGAGACCTTCCATCCCAAACACCTTCCCACCACACCCTCACCGCTAGCTAGAGCGCCGGCAGCTCAGCATCCGCCACCATGAAGGTCGCTACCTCGGCGCTGCTCGTGGGAGCAGTATCCGCCTCTGTGGGCCCCCAGCAGCAGGTCCTCAAGTTCCCCGACTCGTTCAGCGAGCTCAAGGAGGGCGCCTGGTCCAAGCCCCTCCACAAACTCGAGGAGAGCCTCAAGACGCTCACCGGCGAGGCCCGCGCTGTCTGGGATGAGGTCGCCATGATGTTCCCCGAATCCTTTGAGAAGGCTGCCTTCTTCTCCGAGCCCAAGCCACACACTCGCAAGCACGACAGCGAGTGGGACCACATCATCAAGGGCGCCGACATCCAAAATGTCTGGGTCGAGAACAAGAACGGCGACAAGGAGCGCGAGATCGACGGCAAGCTCGAGAACTACAGCATGAGGACCAAGAAGGTCGACCCCAGCGTTCTCGGCGTCGACAAGGTCAAGCAGTACAGTGGCTACCTCGATGACGAGGAGGAGGACAAGCACCTCTTCTACTGTGAGTACCCGAGTGGCTCCCATCATCTTCCATCGACCTAATACTAACACCACCAAGGGTTCTTCGAGTCTCGCAACGACCCCAAGAATGACCCTGTCGTGCTTTGGCTGAATGGCGGACCCGGCTGCTCGTCACTGACCGGCCTGTTCATGGAGCTCGGCCCGGCTTCCATCACCAAGGACGGCAAGATCAAGCACAACCCCTACTCGTGGAACAGCAACGCCTCGGTCATCTTCCTCGACCAGCCCGTCAACGTCGGATACTCTTACTCGAGCGGCCAGGTTAGCAACACCGTCGCCGCCGGCAAAGACATCTACGCCCTCCTCACCCTCTTCTTCAAGCAATTCCCCGAGTACGCCGAGCAGAGCTTCCACATCTCTGGCGAGTCCTACGCTGGCCACTACATTCCCGTCTTCGCGTCTGAAATTCTCTCCCACAAGAAGCGCAACATCAACCTCCAGTCCGTCCTCATCGGTAACGGTCTGACTGATGGCCTCACCCAATACGAATACTACCGCCCCATGGCCTGCGGTGAAGGCGGCTGGCCTGCCGTCCTTGACGAGAGCCAATGCAAAGCCATGGACAACGCATACCCTCGCTGCGCCAGCTTGATTGAGAACTGCTACAACAGCGAGTCGGTTTGGTCCTGTGTCCCTGCCTCCATCTACTGCAACAACGCTATGATCGGTCCCTACCAGCGCACCGGCCAAAACGTCTACGACATCCGCAAGCCATGCGGCAGCAACTCTCTCTGCTACGACGAGTTGGACTGGATACAAGCTTACCTTAACAAGAAGGAAGTCATGAAGGCAGTTGGCGCTGAGATTTCGTCGTACGAGTCGTGCAACTTCGACATCAACCGCAACTTCCTGCTTCAGGGAGACTGGATGAAACCCTTTCACCGCATCGTCCCCGGTCTCCTCGCCGAGATCCCCGTCCTCATCTACGCTGGAGATGCAGACTACATTTGCAACTGGCTCGGTAACAAGGCCTGGACCGAGGCACTCGAGTGGCCCGGCCAGAAGGACTACAACAAGGCGGAGATGGAGGACTTTAAGATTGACGGCAAGGGCGAGGCGGTTGGCCAGGTCAAGTCGAGTGGAAACTTTACTTTCCTCAAGATCCATGCAGGTGGTCACATGGTGCCATATGACCAGCCCGAGGCCAGCTTGACCATGCTGAACAGGTGGTTGGCTGGTGACTTTTGGGCTTGAGTGATTAGGAGCATGATTCTTGAGGGCTTAGATTGATATTTTGATTGAATCTTCTGTAGGCTAGGCTAGAATGTATCATGTATCTTTTGGCAGTCTTGGTTGTTTGCTTGTTCAAGGTGTATATGGATGTGTCTGCATGTACGTACATATATATATATACATTTATATACGAATCCTAATACACATACACAATTCTACGTGTGAACATCAACATCAATACATTCATTCACCTACCCACCCCCAAACAAACACAAAATCAGCCCCTACACCACCTACACTATCCACGCCTTCCCTACTTCCTCGCAGCACTCACTATGGTACCCAAGCTAACCCATTATCAAGCCAACCAATCTTTTGCACTTATAACTAATTGCTGTGTTTGGTAATGTGTGGTGTTGGGTATCAACTTGGCTATTCTTGCTGTATGTGTAGAGTGCTGGTGAGGTTTGCTGGGGGATGGAGGTTTGGGGTTTGGGGCGATGGTGGTGTACTGGGATACTGGGATAATACGGATGCAGTACAGCAGAGTTTTGTGTTTAGGCAGCTTGGGAGTGATGAGTGGGGAGAGGGTGTGTGAGGTGCGAGAGGAGGGGAGCTGTGGGGGTTTGGTTTGTGAGAACACCACTACGGTACAAAACCGGTTTACAGTAGCCATATTTATCTAAAGTAGACCAAGAAGTGGTTTAGGTAGAAGAAGTAAACCTAAATAGGGTTTATTATACCATGTATTCTATAAAAGTAAACTACTTTTATTTCTACTTCTATTAATCTACTAGTATTAGTAATACCTAGTTTCCTACTAACTATTTAAGTATTTTACCCCTCCTTTCTTTGATCTTCTTCACCACCTCTACCACCACCTCTACCACCACCTCTATCACCTCCACCACCTCCACTACCTCCACTACCTCCACTACCTCCACCACCTCCACTACCTCCACCACCTCTATCACCACCTCTATCACCACCTCTATCACCACCTCTACCACCTCCACCACCTCCACC